AATTTCCTTGTTACAAGATGTGGTTGAAATTATTGTCGATAAAGGGCCGCAGGTGAACATTGAAGTTTTGATCAGATCACAGAGGGAAAGTAAAGTTTTCTTGAGAAAACAACAGGAGGAAGAGAGAAGAGAAGCAAGTCCTATGGCTTCCGAGGAAATAAAGACGCTGACATTGGCTGCGACAAGCGGAATAGAAGCTGAGAATAATGCTACTGAAATTACAAGTAAGCTTTCACAATATTATATGTACGTGTTGAACATATGGCTATTTAGTTTAGTTCAGTCTCGGTAGCTTGTGAAAGTACTACTTGTATTCAGTTTTTAAGTATCATCTTTTGGTTCTGCAAGTGCACGTTTTTTCTAGAGGCAAAGCTTAATAATGTAATCAATCATATAACAGTAATTTAACTTTCAAATTTTTTTTGGAGTCTTCGTGGGTGCTTGTCATCGATCTAAAACTGATTAATCTGTGTTGTTTAATTTTCGTATAACCGGTCTTTTGTTTAACTATAAAGCTCTATAGATTTCGTGATGTTAATTTAGTTGTCCATGTGTGATTTAAATGCGAGACTGTTGCATTTCTGCGTTGACAATCCAGAGTTATGTTCCGCTTTGGTGATTTTAGGGCTAACAAGACTAGGCAGATACTAACTCGAATCGGCTCCGTTTACGATGAGTTTTTTTTTTTGCCGACTTTATCGTGCTGCTTCTTTTTTAAAGGTCAGGATGGAAACAGCACTGGTTAGAATTTTAACCAATTCTTCCTTATTTGTAAAGAACAGAATCTCGATGAGTAGATTATGACGTCAATGGCACCAAAAATATAAGCTCGACGATAAACCGCAGACAATATCATAGAAATTTTGTAACCAGCTCAGATTGTTTTCAAATCTGTTCATTTCATCTTAATGCGGATAAAATGAGAGCTAAACTTATGTAAACTAGGAGCGCTCTGATTACCTGCAAAACAGAAATTCTAATAAAATAATCACGTATTAGATAGACATTTGAGAGTTTGGGCATGATGCTTTCGACAAACAACAAACGGGAAACTGAAATAATGCATATCGCTGTACGCTTAAGGCCATTATTTTCATAAAGTAAACTTTTTGCTTATGAAGTGAACGAAAGATTTTCCGCCATTTTTTAAAGGCTTGATTCCAGGATTTTGGAAAAGGTGAGTTAAATCAGAGTTAATTTATGCAGAATGACGGCGCTGCATATCCATTATGTTTGCCGCACATGTACATTGCGTCAAGCTTCAGTACTTGACTGTGACACTTGTAAGCTCTTGTTATAAATATAACCACGGAGATGCGTGACGTTTAAAAGAGTTTAAGCAATATCATTTGAAGATATTTGAAGCAAATACGCGAATATGGAAGCGATCTCCGCAGTTATAAACACTGCTTAAGTATTAGTGGAAATATGGCCTGAAAAAAATACAGTGCAGCACTCTACCAACTGAGATAACAAACCAACTTGGAGGAGATCATTCTGTTGCTTCCAAATAATCTTCCAAATGGTGAATAAATTACTGTAAATATATTAAAATCGTATATGTAAACTGAAGTTGAGGGAAGAATATGGAAGCGATCCTCGCAGTTATGAACACTACTTAAGTTGGCTTGTTAGCTCAGTTGTAGAGCTTGCTCTGGTATCGCAGAGGTCATGGATTCAAAAACCGTATGGGTCTGAATTCGGGCCTTATCTTAACTACTACTTAAGTGGTGTTCTTAACTGCGAGGATCACTTCCATATACGTGTTCGGCTGTTTAAAATTAACCACTCTAAACAGAAGCTTACATACATACATACATACATACTTTTTTTAATTCTCCCAAAGGGGCTTTTCAGAATTAATTTACAATGTGTATATATAACAGTGTATATATAACATAAAAGACTAACGATATAAAATAATAACTTACTTGTACTTGATATAGAAATAACTTAAAATTACCACTTCCAAATTAACAATCATAATATTCTATAGTTATATGTTGAGATACCGGTATCCTTTTCTTCGCTAATTCAGCCTTTGCATGCTTTTTAAATGATCTTAGTGAGCAGTTCTAGTGTTGTTACTGAGACTATTCCACGCTTTTGCTGCCCTATAAAAGAAACCACGCTGAGCAGCCGCTCTCCGGCATTTTGGCAAGTTTAGATCTTCACTATTGCGGAGATTATAAACGTGCGAAGTTGATCGCTTCCCTATTTTACAGCTAATATATGCTGGCAATAAATTGTTAACAGATTTATACATCAATGTCACGTCACGCAATCGTATTTCCTTGTGTCAGTTAGTCAGTACGGGCAGCAAAGTTCTGCATAAGTTGAGGTTTATGGATATTCCGTTTGTAAGTACCAGACCATACAGCAGAACAGTAGAATAATTTACTAAACACAATAGAGTTAATCATTATGTATAGAACTTCTTTGGAGAACAGGTGGCGAACCCTAATTATTTTACACAAACTAGATAGCAAAGATGACGATAATGATGAGATATGATTATTGAATCTTAAGCCAGAGTCCAGGATAACATCCAGGTCTTTAGCGGATGAGACAGGGCATAGTTATTATCCAAGAAAGGGTACAGTGACGTCAGGTAGCTTTGATGCAGGTGGTTGTGTTCTAAAGAGCACAAGTTTAGTTTTATCTGGCTTTATAAGCGGGTGATTTGCGTAACACCAACCAGCAATACTTTCAAGAACCTTCGGACTTGCAGACAAGAGCAGATATCTTTAGGCGCACACGATAGGTAGATATTATTATCATCCACATAGGATTCGATGTTACTGAACTTAGTTACCTTTGGAAGGTCATTCATATAGAGTGTGAACAGCATCGGGCCTAAGATGGACCCTTGAGGTACACCATGAGTTATCGTGAGGGGATCCGACAATGATGTTCCAATTCGAGTACACTGCTGTCTATCTGACAGGTAGCACTTGAACCAGTGGAGTACCTTCACTAAGGCGCCAAGTAGTTTGAGTTTGCTGAGCAGGGTGGAATGACAGAGACGGTCGAAAGCTTTACTCAAGTCTATTAGAACCATTGCTGTTATTTGCCTGCTATCCATCGCTCTAAGGATGTCGTCCGTTACTAATAAGCTCAGTGTTTCCGTTGAGTGCAGAGATCCACTTTGATGTGTCGTCAATCGGTTATGAAATGTCAAGTAGTCATTGAACTGACGCTTGGCAATCCTCACCGCTACCTTGGAGAGGACTGGCAATAACGTGACTGGACGGTTGTTATTCGCCACCTCATGCTCACCCTCTTTTGGGTGTGGGACTACTTCACTCTTTTTCCACGCTAGCGGAAACACAGAACTTGAGAAGGAGTGGTTTATTAAGTCAGTCAGCGTTGGAAGGATGTGCTCAAGGCAGTCCTTAACCATCAAAATGGGAACTTTATCAAAGTCCGGTGCCTTATTGGTAGGCATGTCTAAGATCACTTTTCGCACATCGTCGGGCGCGAATGACTGGAAAGCGAAGCATCCTTCTTCGTCCCTTTGGGCCTGTTGTGAAGTCAGCGTGACCTGCGGCGTGGGGTTTTTGTACTGTAAGCTGTGTTGGTTGGCCAGCTCTGTGGACTTCTTGGCTGCTTCTTGTCCGACCGAGATGAAAAATCGGTTGAACTCATTCGCCAGGACGTCGGTATTCCTTGTATATTGAGGACGCTGGTTAGATTTGTTGGGGAGAGCCCGACGTATGATTTTCCACAGGGAACCAGTATTACCTTTATTGGTGATAACTTGTTGTGTGAAGTAGTCTCTTTCTGCATGCCGGATAGACTATTTAATCTCCCGCCTCAAGTCCGCAAACGCTTTCTAGTCCTCATGGCTTCCGCTCTTACGCGCCCGCTTATGGAGCTTGTTCCTTGTATTTATCCGTTCCCTGATCTCAGCAGTGATGGATGGATTTGATTTGCGCTTTAATTTCAGAGTTTTTATGGGGGCATGATTATCAAGACATGTTAGAAAGAGGTCGTTAAAGACGTCCACTCTGTCATCCACTGAGTCCATTAATTTCACAGTTTCTCATGGTACTTGTGCGATGTCACTGGAGAACTGGTCAGCGGTATAGTTTTTGAAACTTCGGGTTGTAAAGTAAATGGGTGGAGGCTTAGGCACTTTCATATTAAGGAAGACGTACACTAGGTAGTGGTCGCCAATGGTGAGGTCTAAGACACCGCTGGTCTTTACTATGTCCTTTTTTGATAACATGACAATATCCAAGAGGCTACGTGACGTCATAGTGACCCTACTAGGTCTGTCTATCAACTGGTGGACGTTCACGGAAGCACAGAAAGACCGAAGAGCGTCACCCCTGGTGGTTTTGAGTAATAGGTCACAATTTGCATCCCCAGTCCGTACGATGTCCTTGTTACGGGATAAGGCCTTCACGTATGTTGGTATGAGCTCATTTTCGAGACAGGAAAGGCCTATGTCCGGGGGTCTGTAAACAATGCACAACAAGATCGAACATATATTCTTGTTTTGGATTTGTAACCAGAGTTGATGTAGACCTGATTCACCGATGCCAGCCAGGTCCTTGAGGATCCTACCCTTTTAGCCATGTCTGACATAAGCACAAACACCAGCGCCGGACTTTCCCAAGCAATCCAGCCTGAATATCTGGTAACCTTCAATCCCGACACTGATGTTGGTAATAGTCGAGTTAGAGCTTGACCCTTTTATGTTATTATTGTCCAGTTAACACCAGGTTAGTTTTCTACTCCAGGGCAAAAGGAAAACCTCATTAAATTTCAACTGGGATGGCTGACGTAATCCAAAGTTAAAGACTACACGCAATTGAAACATAAATTTAGCTATGAGACTAATATCCCTTTGTGCATGCAGGAGACTTCAACGACCCAGAGACCTCTGTGGTGACAGAACTGCAGCTTTCAGAGATAAGTGATGACGTAGGTACTTGCTGGCGTGAGCTTGGACCAAAGCTTGATATCCCTGCAGCAAAGATCCAAAACCTGGACGACGATTATCGCTGTAATCGCGACAAAGCAAACGCCTTACTCCTCATGTGGAAACAGAAAGAAGGGAGCAGTGCAATTGCAGGACGTTTAGCGGATGCTTTGGTAAGCATTGGAAAAAAGTGCATTGCAGAAATGCTACTTGGTAAGTAGGTACATGTGGCAAGATGCATGAATGGTCTGCGTATACAACTGACGAGCTGAACGAATAACTACACCAAGAATTCCTAGAAAACTGTCAGCATTGTTAATGTATAACGTAAATGTGGAGCTTTCCGTGGTTCCCTGTCTCGTCTTAACATAAAGACAGATTAGAATATTTCTACTGATATCCTTCCCCCCTTGAGAAGGTGGCTGCTATGAATAAATACTTTAATATAGCTCTCGTGAATGTAAAATTTTTTATTCGTCCTTCTCTCAACACATCTACTGATCACTCAGAGCGCGCCTACTATTTCAGGGATTTTGCAATCCTTGATAGAGCAAGTGACAACTTGGTGTAAAACCCGATCTTGGATTGCGTTGCTTCTCACGATTTATTCTGTCTGATGGGCCCAGGAAACTTGTCCCACTCTTTCACCCGATTAAATTTAAGACTAGAATTAAAGGTGACTTGTAGACCCGCACTTCAAGTATTTTGCTCGTTTATGCTTTGTGCTCCCATTGTCTCCTGACCAGTGATATTGACTTTGTTCTAATTAGCAGTTAGCAAAACTCTGGGTTCGATTTCACGAAAACCGTGAATTATCCAGCCATCCTAGTATCCGGATTGTGTGCACTTATAAGGGTTGCTAAGTTAAGAAATTGCCTTCCTGCGAGCGACTTTTCCATAATAGAAAATGTTCTAAATGTTCAACAGTTTGCTCCAGGGGTGGGTGGCGGGGGAGGGGGGGAGGTTGACCAGCGGGGAGGGGGGGAGATGAAGCATTGAACTGATCGATGCATAACTTAGAACTCATGATAATTTCATATCAACACATATACTATTAGGAGCGGATGATGCGAAAGTGCTGAGGTGTGGAAACATTCCCAAGGGTCACGTTATCAGTTTAACAGTTATTCATGACCTGGGTGAAGGGCTTGATAAGGTGAGTAGATAACAACACGTTTTCTACAATAACCACGGAAAGATAAAATTTTGAAAATAACAATATGCATATTTTGTTACAACACAGTTACAATCCATTTCCTCCAAAGTTGATAAATAGCACGCCTGCCTGGACCTTCCAGAGCTAATAGCTTGAATTTTCTTGTTACTGGGACTCGTGAACAAAAAAGGTGAAACTTGGACTAGCAGTTGACCAGAAAAATCACTTAGATGAATTTTGCCATTCTCTAGGCATAGTTTTACCACCAAATACTCTTTACAAGTAAAATAACAAAGTAACTTCAAATTTGATAGCTATCGAATATTTTTCATTTTTTTAGCTTATGGTGTGCGAAGATGCGCAGGGAAATAAATTCATGGTTAAAGCATTCAACAGCAGAGACAATTTTTTGAAATTGGAAGAGGTAACTTCTTCACTTATCCCATTTATCCAATTAGAATGTTTCAATGAGTATTTAGAAAAATGCACTCTGTGATTAAGGGTTTACCATCGAAAATTATGACATAGTTTTAATTTACCTATTTGTATTTCATTTGTTTTAAAAGACACTTGTGAGCAAGAGATTTTTAGAAACTGTTGTTGTGGCGAGACAGGAAAGTCTAAAGCGCTATATTTCATCGGAGCTTCAGGACCTGAGACTCCAAATGAAGAAAGGGCAACTGGCTTGTGGAAATGGTGATAAAACAGATGGTATTCAAGATGCCTCTAAAGACAAAACAGAGCCCACAAGCAGCTTATTGAATGAGGAAGTGGATCCACCAAACGATGAAAGCGTGGAAAAATTGCTAGAGTCATGTGAACAACATCGCTACTATTTTCAGAGAATGTTTGACGCTCTTATCAAGCTGACTGGCGAGGTTGGACAACAAAATGAAGATAATGTTGATTGCATTGAAAAACTATTGGAATTTACTAGGGAACTCAAGCAAAAGGAAACAACACTTTTCTCCAAAATCGAGTCGGTAGGAACTCAGAGCCAAATCAAGGACAAGCAGCACGCGAATCGAGTTGAGGAATTACAAAAATGGAAAACACAACATGAGTTGCAATTCAAGGAAATTGAAAAGCTACTGTCATCAGGACTACTTTATCAAAGGACAACAGAGAGAAAGCCGAGTTATAAAGGGAGGCTGGTAATTACTGATAGATAAACATTTTATCACTTTAGTATTGGTAAGAACTTGACTTCGAGTAAAAATTTGGTGTTAACAATCACGGGTATATTTTTCAACGACAACAAAACTGCACGAGCCCGTATAGCAAGTGCAATTTGAAGTCTTTAAAAAACTACCCGTGCTTAATTGCTAATAATATTCATGATAAAACATCACAGAAAGTGAAGACAGACGAATTTTTGAAAGTGAGGAGTGCGCAATTGTTAATTTGCACTCGTGTTACAACTTTGTTCTCGTGTTACATGAGAATGCAGTCGTTTTCAGCCAATCAGAAGCGCGATATTTTTTCATGTCCATAATTAATTACTTGTTGTTTTTGTTTCATTGACCTCAAACGAGCAGGCAGAATCTTATCATCTTCTCTCCTTTCTTGACTTTTCTGTTTGTGATGTTCTCTCAAATTTAAATTTTATTTCTATTTTCTTAAGCCCTCTCACAAGGAAACTGTGCCAAAACGTCAATCAAAATCTCTTCCAGGATACGGAAGGAAGGTAAGAGAATTTGAGTTAAATCTGAGATTATAGAAGCACAGATCACTGAACTGAATCAAACTGAAGATATAAGAAATTGAATAAGGAACTATCTTGTTTAATTTGAGCAATTATAATGCGCTATAGATATCTTTGTTTGTAATCGGTCAAAGTTGTCATACTGCCTATGTCTACTGTTTTCAGGACAGTAGCTAAATGTTTATGTTTAGACTTAAATTTATTCTTGTTTTGCAGAGTCTCGGACATTGTTCAGAAGGTGACCTACCAGAAGAGACTAGAGCGAAGGTATGATGTAGTCTATTGAAATACCACCTTTAAAATTAAAACGTTAGAAAAAAATGAAAATTTTTGGCTGTCTCCTCAGAAAGAGAAGCTCGAAGAGAACTTTTCTATGACCCAAAAATGCAAACTTGGCCAGCATTCCTATCTTGTTTAATTTGAGCAATTATAATGCGCTATAGATATCTTTGTCTGTAATCGGTCAAAGTTGTCATACTGCCTATGTCGACTGTTTTCAGGACAGTAGCTAAATGTTTATGTTTAGACTTAAATTCATTCTTGTTTTGCAGGGTCTCAGACATTGTTCAGAAGGTGACCTTCCAGTAGAGACTAGAGCGAAGGTATGATGTAGTCTATTGAAATACCACCTTTAAACTTAAAACGTTAGAAAAAAATTAAAATTTTTGGCTGTCTCCTCAGGAAGAGAAGCTCGAAAAGAACTTTCCTATGACCCAAAAATGTATACTTGGACAGTATTGGAAAGAAAATTGATCTTACGTGAACCCGAGTAATTGGTTATTCATTTTAGACGACGAAGACGGAGTGCAGGACATTCAGCTCTGAGAGGCGACCCTACGTACTTATTATTATAAGGAAAAAAGATCTCATATTATGCTGTACTTTTACATTAGAAGAATATTATATTTTCTCCTTCATTGTGTTTGTTCTTTTCTTTTTAATTTTTCTTGATTGCACTATGGTAGTTATCTCCCTTAGAATACAAGATTGATAATGAAATCTTACGAAACTACTAACTCCTTTTTTTTTACTTTTTTTCTCCTCATGTTTCAAGAATCCCTTGTTGAGGCTGAGATCGGGAGACAAAGAAGCTTGCGTCCTCCTATCAATCTCAAAACTCTCCTGCGATGAAGAACATCAAACAATAGATTCGGGAGCAAGAGATAACACAAAAGAATTCATCGCCTAATATTGCTTAAAATGAAAAAATTTAAAGATATTGAATGGAGCACACTATCGTCTTTAATTTTGTTCATCACTTATTCTATTGTCACTCGATTGTGCGAAGATATTTAGTGCAGCATATTTTTATTTGAAACTGATATAATGTAAAGAAAAATAAGAATGTCAATAACTGACGATAGAAAGTCCTTGTTCGCCTTGTTATAAAGGTGAATTAGCTAGGAATTTCTGGGAATTTTTGGGAATGTTTAGGAATATTTAAGAATTACTGGGAATTTTTAAGCAAAAATTTTGAGGCTGATGATATAAAATAAATACTCTAAATTAAAAAAAAAACAGCTAAAATTCAAGTATTCAATGAAATTTATTTAGAAGGTTAATTAAGGCTTA